CACTCCCTGCCTTGACAGTTACTACTCTTGTAAAATGCAATTCTTGGCGAGATTGGAAAACAATAATGAAGTTAAGCTGTGTCAGTCCCCATCTGTCCCTGTTTTTACAACCCAAAGAAGTGAGGAACAGATTGGCATGACTCTCACAGCTGCCACAGGTCTCTTGGGTAACTTTCCAGGGAGCAGTCAGGCCTTGGGGTGCTGCAGCAGTCACAAGACTGTGAGTGTTGACTGCCAGTGACCTGCTGGTTTTGAAAGCCTCATCTGACTTCTGTGCAATCAGGAAACACAAACCTGCATGAGACCAGCAAGGTACTGATAACCCTCTGCCAGTCAAATAATATGAGTTCACATGAGAGGTTTTTTTCTTTATGATTTTTAGGTATTCAGTTATGGTGAATAATGTCCTACATTTGCCACGTTTGGAGAATAATCACATAGCCAATGCCTTTTTCATGAAAATACAACTTCCAATCCACACAGAGCTTGATTCAAAAGTAAGTGGGAGTGTGTATGCCAGGAAGATGTAGATTACAACAGGACATGAAGGACATGTGGCCCAGGGAATACAGCAAGTATCAAACCACTTTGTATTGTGCAATAATTAACTGCATGTATTTTGGCACCTGGTTAGTTTCTAGTTTCTGCATCTAAAAAATTCAAACACACCTCGGCACCACAGAACAACATGAGGCTTACGTGAGGCTTCTAAAGCAGTCTTCTAAATGCTTTCAAAAGAAAAATGCCTGGGAAATGCAGACTTCCATAAATATATTGTTCAAGCTACTAAGTCTGACTGAAAACCTGAGGATCATTTTGCGTCTCATGTATGCTAATGGTGAGAAGCATGCAAGTTACGTAAGTAACCACCAAGTGTCACTGTTTGGTATTTTTACATTCTGACATCTCTGTTCCCATTAGAAAAACCCTTTTAGATGCAGTCCTGTAAATTAGGATTTTCCAACAAGAATAAGAACATTTTTAAACTAAAAGAGACTGCCACACAAGGCACAGAAAAGCTCAAGTATCTGGATACTTGGCTTTCTTGAGCAAGTCATCAAGTAATGCCTGAACTAAATATTGATCATATTACTGGATATAATAATGTGAATCCCATTGAAATTAAGACACCCAAAATGTTAGGCATCAGATTTTATTTTTAAGCCTAGCAATTTAAGTTATTGTAGCAAACACCATTTTTTTTGTGTTTTGTTTTTATGAAGAAAGGTAGACAACCTGAGATTCACTGAGATTGTCAGATGCTTTGTCAGAGATCCCTTTGGCAAGGGATGCATTATCAAAAAGAGTGAACACATTTTAAGTAAGTAAGTTCCTATTGTGAAAAGTAATTTAACCTGACTTTAAATTAGACATCAGAGATTGAATTGCAGTCCTGGCATGAGGTGCCAAGCCAGTCCTCCCGGTTTCTAGAATGTTAATATAGGTCATAATCTTTGATTGGCACCAAACCAGATTTTGCTGACAGGCATTCACATAAGATGCAATTCATGAAGGAATTTCCAACCAGGCTTAAAAAATAAAATCAAACCACCTTACTCTACGTAACTTACATAGCTTCCCTTTGTTATTATTTCTTCTACACCACTACTGAACTCTAAGTGCCGCTGTAGTGTTCCAGATGTGCTCCTGCTTAGCTGCAACTTGAAAGATGTAAAATAGCTGCACAAATTTCCATATGTATTTGTGTTTTATTTCTTTGTAGAATGCCGTAAATTTAACATTCCTTAGAGAGATCCTTTCAGGGTGCTAATACTGGTTTATCTGGGTGAGCAGTCAGCCATTAAGAGTCAGCTGTGTGACGTAGATCCAACAGCCAGGGTACATGGGTGAGCCAATCCCTCCTGACAATCTCAGATTACCAAACCTGAACAGCCTGCCTTCTTAACAAATGAGTGCCTCTCCCACAGATCTCAGACATGCTCTCTGCACTACGGACAGTCTGTAACACCTTTCCAGCACAGCCATCTCTTAGGAATAATTTCTAGATGCTTGTGAACGAGGAGCAACCCCGAAACAAGGACATTAGCCCTCTAGTGGAAAAATATTGTCTGCAGTAGTTTTTGTATGTATGGAAGATCACCCCGGTGAAACTGTGTGTTGTCAGGGCTCTCAGTGCATGAATAGACTTTAATGTCTTCTCTTTGTGCCTCCATCCACACCCAGTGCCTATGGGACACTTTATGTAAGCTCAGCACTGTATTTAACTTCAGCAGAGTCACAGTCACGTCTGTGCCCTGCCATGGATTCCACTGATCTGGACTGTGACCTGTGGGCTGAGTTCCTAACTTGATCTTCAAACTGCCTCGTCACTGTGCACCTGCCCAGTGATCACAGAACTGTGCCTGACTGGTTACCCTCGCAGGTCCCAATCCTGACTGGCAGGTTGCCTTCCAGGCTTTACCTCATCACCATCTTGCCTCATCACTTGCCTCATCACCATCAACTTGCCTGATCCTCTGAACATCACTGGACCTGCCCTGCTCACCTTGCTTGGATATTGTGGGATGGAGTCCTGGCTGGTGAAGCTCTTGCCTTGCTGGCTGTGTTCTCACTCTTGGCTCCATATTCCCTGGGAAGCAGCTGGCTTTTGCTGCTCCCTGGCTTGTGTAGCATAAACCCAGGAAAAAAGGAGCATCCTGTAGAAATCATATAAAGAAAGTGTGAGAGAGGTCAAATCTGCAGAGAAAGAATGTATGAAACCAAAAAGTTGAAATGCAGAATTATATGTTTTTGTCAAATGGATCATCGGAGATTGAATAAAGGTTGTTAGGAAGTGACAGAGGCTAGGATGTGATATTTCCTGAGAAGGGCAAGGACATGAAATTATAGGAAGGAGAAACAATAAGCACATGAAAAGGGGTAAAAGAAAAATTAACAAAAGCTCCTAGAAATTATAAAAGAGTGAAAATACTAAAACCCTAAAATTAGCATGGTCAACAGCCCAAATCCTAGCACAAAGCTCTCTGGGATTTTACTGTAAAAACCTTTTATTCCTTATTCTATTTTTAATAAGGATTTCTGATAATCTTCCATGGCAACCAAATCTCTTTAAGAATGTTTGGCGAAGGAAACTGTCAAAGGGTATTCAGAAATCCAACTTCACTCTTGAGCCTTTATCAATTCTGGACAGCACTATGAGGGGAAATAACAATATAAATACTGTCCATGCCTCCACCACAATTTTAATTGCTATGAGTCAAAGTAGAATTAGTAACAGAAAATTAAAGTATGTATCTCAAACTAGAAAAGCCAAAAAAAGAGCATGCAATGCCAGTAAGAGCTATTTATTCAAGTTATTTAGTCCGCTCTTCGGCTGACCTAAACATTGATGTGATTAATGACATCCACATTGAAGTAACAGGCAATTGAAGAATCTTCATAAAAGAGAATCAGCTAACAAATATAACAGTTCAGATCAATTAGTAAAAGGCTGTTGGACAGAAAAGGTACTGAAGTCCTTGTGCTAAAACTGAAGAGGGGCAGAATTATCACATCCTCTTAAAGTATTTAGGCATTTCACTGGAGGGCCTGAGACATGGTATTACAGAAGACAAGTTCCTGAACCTGGCATACCCGAGAGCTGATCAAATAAGGCAAGTTTTTCCTTTGAAAAAAATGTAGTAGAGGAAAGCAAGTAAAAGAATTCTGGTGTGGTTTTTTTTCTGAAACAAAAAAGATCAAACGAGAAAGTACTCCCACACTTTAGGTACCATGTAGTGAACTATGTAAGATGAAAAGAACATGCATGGTGCCTGTCTGGTGGTGTTTGACGTGCTGTGCAGTCAGTGATTACAGGGCTGCCTGTGGAGAGGTGGCAGTGTGCCCGGTGCTCTGCCAGGTGGATCAAAGGCTTGCATGGGAGGACCAGCCCAGCAGTGCCCCTCGAGCCAACAGGCCCATGGGAGACTAGAGTGTGGGGGGGTTTGGGTGGTACTAACAACAGTCTCTGAGGCTGAGGAGAATCAAACAACAACAACAACAAAAAAACACCTAAAAATGTGTTGCCTTCTTATTCCCACCTGAGTTTCTGTGTGGGAGCAGTCGCTGGATGCTTTCCGTTTTGGAGCTGGGCTCTGGGTAGCATGAAAGAGCTTGAGAGGAACATTATGTGGTGCAGCAAGCACAGCTCCCAGGTGTTGCTGGAGCTGTTCTGGTGCTTGCCAAGTAGTGTCCATCAATAGCCTTCTGCCCTGGCATCTTTGCTGTGGAGCAGTGGCTGCATTTCCATTTTGGGACTGGGGCTCTGGGGGCGCGTTGGAGGCACATTCAAGGCCAGGCTTGGATGTGGTTCTGAGCAACACATCTAATTGAAGATGACCCAGCTCGTTGCAGGGGGGTTGGAATTAAATGACCTTTGAAGGTCCCTTCAAACCCGAACTACTCTATGATTCCATTATTCAAACTGGTATGTCTGACCTTATTTAACAATGTTATCTTTTAGGCAATTCTGTACCGTGCTCTGTAAGCAACATCTGTGCCTGGTACAGGTGCACCGACCAACCTACGCCTCAGGCACAGTAAGTGGTGCCTGTCAGCTCTTCACCTCCGACCTCCGCGGCCCGTCCGCCCCCGGCCTAGACTGCGACAGCCAGAAGGCGGGAGGAGGCAGCTGCCGCCATGTTGGGACGGGAGAGGCGCCTCCTGTGCGGGCTCAGAGCAGCGGAAGGAAAACAGAGGCTGTACCCGCTGAGTCCCCGGCCCACATTTCACCCAGGAGTAGGGGACAACACTCCCACTGTGCCCGCAGAACCTGCCCCCGAGGCTCCACCGAGCAGAGGCAGTTGCGGTAAGAACTGAGAAGAGCCGCTGAGGAGAGGCGTGTCCCCGCCCCTAACGACTTCGCCCTCCTTGTGATTGGCTCGCACAGCTAAGCCTCCCCTGTGATTGGTCGCACCTGCTGCCACTCCCGGCACGGGGCGGGCGGTGACGTGATTGGTCTTACCACGCCCCGTATCCCCGCGCGCGCGGAGGTGGCGTGCTGCTCGAGCCACGTCACGTCGGCCGCGCGTGGCGGTTCGCGTAAGCGCGCTGGGTGCCGCGGGTGCTGACGCAGCCGCCCGAAGGAGACGCGGGCGCTATGGAGGCGAAGCCGGCGGAGCTCCGGCTCTGTGACAGCCTCATCCTCTGGGTGAGTGGCCGGTGCCGCGGCCGCGCTGCCCCGAGGGGGCCTCCGGGAGCGGCAGCAGTGGCGGGGGGATCCCGCGGAAGCGGCGTGTCCTGGCTGAGAGCGCCTCTTCCCGTCAGAGCCCGCGGCTGTTGCCGGGAAGGAGGGATGGGGCCTGCCGGCAGAGCAGCTCCTCAGTGGGGCTCCTGCCCGGTACGAGCGGGCGGCAGCAGCGGCGGTTCGGGCACAGGAACTGGGCCTGGTTGCTGGGATGGGGCCTAAGTGTAAACCGAGGGTGTTCACAACCGGTCAGACGTTCCCTTGAAGCGTAGATGTGGTCGTTTGAATACCAAGTGGTGGTTCTCCAGCTGTGGCTTCGGTGTGGGAACTGCTCAGTAATTAACAATAAGAGTAAATATGTGTAATTAATTTGAATAGAGTTGACAGGAGCAGAAACCTCAGAACATCTCATACCAGCTTTCAGTTGGTTAAAGCGTATATTAGGCAGGCACAGCACACCTAGATGTCTGGTGTTTCCTGTGCAAGAAGCATGTATTTAGACTCACAGACTTAAATATGTGAGAAGACCTTTAACATCATAGAATCACAGAATGGTTTGGGTTCACTTAGTTCCACCCCCCTGCCACAGACAGGGACACCTTCCACTAGGGCAGCTTGCTCCAAGCCCTGTCCAGCCTGGCCTTGAACACTGCCAGGGATGGGGCAGCCGCAGCTTCTCTGGGCGCCCTTTGCCAGCACCTCAAGATCATAAAGTCCAACTGTATTTAGAATCCTGGAGTCACAGGATGGTTTAGGTTGGAAGGGACCTTGAAAGGGATCTATTTCCAATCCCCCTGCCATGGGTAGCGACACCTTCCACTAGATGAGTTTCTTCTGCTTCCTAGTTTGCAATTTTGGTCCTGAAGATGCAATACCTTTTGTTGAGAGTGAGCTGCACTAAATAGAACTTCTGTAAGAAATCTTGGCAGGGAAGGCCACATTTACCTGATGTGAAGAGTTTCTTCAGAAATAGCAGGTGTTTTGCCTGTGTGAATTGTAAACTGGAGAAGGGAGTGTTTTAGAAGCATTGTGGACGTCTTTGAATGAAATTGGTGGGAGTGATAGCAACAGCTACTAGAACAGGAGTTCCTTTTACTTTCTGTATGACAGTACAGAAGTTTTAACTAGTTGATGTCAGTACTAAATCACTGAAAAACAATTCTCTCCTTTATTTCCCTTCCTCTGTTTTCCTTTAAGTGATCTGTTTTGCTCACTTTCAGGCTTTGTCTTATGCTTACCTCTCTGGATATCTTCTGTCATTTAATCTATGCTTGCTTGGTTTGTCTTTTTCTGGCTCTTTAACTTCGTATTTTCCTCTCAGTAGTCAGGTAAGAATAACCCTGTCATGATTCAGTTGCAGAATAAATCAGTGCATTCCTGAACTCTTGCTTAGAATCCCATGAGCACTGCTGAACTTTTTATAAGTTTCACAATTTCTATTTAAAAGATTACAAGCCAAATCTCATTTTCAGTATCCTCACAGTGCATAGCTGAAATGACATTATAGATCATGAAAGGAATTCTAATGGAACTTTAGCCTTAAACTGTAAGAGCTCTGTGTAGTGGCGTTAGTGGAAATGAACATTCAACTCTGTGTGCTCAGGTTTTCTGTAAAACACTCCGCAGATGCATTTGTAGATGCATGCTTTTAGATCTAACACCCTGTTTCTTGGACCTAGTTTACAACTTAGAAACTGTTTGTTAACACTAAGATTGTTTCAAACATCCTTTCAGCTTGAATTTCAGTTTAAATAATAGGGGAAATAAAAGGTCTGTGGAGGCAGGAATGAAGTGCTTTATATTAGAAGAGAAATGGGTTCTGTAACTGTGGTTCTAAAGCTTTCTTAATGTATCTACTGTTTTAGTATAGTGAAGAGATGCTCATGATTTTCTGTGTTCTGCTGAAAGATCTTGTGGCTTGTTTATGTATTTAATTTTGGTAAATTCCATATTAGAAAACATACTTTGTCCAGAGAGGAAAGAGAAAATTTAGCTAAAACCGTTACTTACTGGTTCTGCAACGCAGATGCCATTGAAGTCTGAGGATATTACAGGAAAAAACTTAATGGAGTTAAGTTATAGGAGAAATGTACATGAGATGCCAAGGAAAATTGATGTAAGTAGTATCTATTAAGACTGAACTTAAAAGTCTGTTGCAGAAACAATTTTCTAAGTCAGAAAGACAAACTTCAGTTAGGATATGTGAAGTAAACCTGAGTATTTTCTGCCTCTGGGTAGGAGTGAAGCAGTAAGAGCAGCAGTAGGCCTTGTGGTGCGGCAGAATATTCTGTATTTACGTGCCATTACATAGGTGTTTTCTTTACTGTAGCAGAGAAAAAGTTGGTTGAATGTCTTTTGGTACTGGGCTGCTCTGAGGCTGCTTCTATCTTTGTCTCCAAACTAGAAATATGTGGTCACATCTTAAGTAGAAAGGTTCTACAATAGATGTACCGTTGGTTGGCACTAGAAGCATTGGTGATGTTAAATCCGTCCAGTGGCTGAGCTGTTTTATTAATGTTCTGTCATTAAGAATTGGAATGTTTATTGTTACTTTAAAATCTCTTTGACTGACTCTATAAAACTTTTATCCCTAGTATATATAATCTGGGTATAAAATGGAGAACCTCAGCTCTACATTATCTGAATGAAATGGAGGGCATACCTTCCCAAGAGGTTGATTTCTGCTGGGTAGCACTCTGTTTCATCTACAGCTCTTTGATAGTAGAGCCTTCAGCAGACCCAGAGAAAAAACATTAAGTGCTACATATACAGACTTGAGTTTTCAGATGATTATTGGACGCATGACAGCTGTGTCTGAGAGAAAAATACTTACTTCTCTTATAGCAGCAAGTGGCAGGCTGTATTTAAGCTAGATTCATGAAATGGTTTTCAGTGTGAGTAGCAGTATGTCCTTGAAGCTATATTTAGTAAAACTAATCAAGTTGGGGGGGGGAAGAGTACTGCTACAGTTGTGAAGTCTGTGGCTGCTTCTGCCAGCCTCCTCGCCATGCCTACTGTGTTCATTAGTTTTGCAAGTACAGTAGAAGCTTGTCTTGAGGAAATGATTGGGCTGGCACAGGGTTTGGAGAACCCATAATTAATGTGTCTACTCTCATATTATTTCTAGGTGCTTAAGTAACTAAATATACAGAGAAACTAAGATTCTCAGCCTTGCTTTTTGCTTAATTAGCTGTTTCTATTCTGGGAGATACTGGCATACATAAAGCAGTGTCACAGGGCTTTGTAAGGCCTTGTTTACCTGCTCTGACAGGCTTGGGTGAAATGGTAGTACCTGTACTTAGCAGTTTCTTTGGTTTCCAAGGATGTATTTCCAAATGCCAGCTTCATAATCTTGTGCCATGAAACTGTGTGCCCAGTCTTGACTTGTAAGCTTGCATGCCTGTTCTTGTGTTGGCATTAAGGCTGCTATAGTATTAGAAACCAGTGCTGTCAATCACAGCTGATTCAGTCTGTGTTGTTCTCCTTAATCTTTTATGTAACCTAACAGGGATTACGGACTTCTCACCTGCTGTAATACAGGATTTATAGAATGCTTTTTAAATTTAAAAACTAATTACAAAAAAACCCTTGCTTTGCATATTTATCTCTTATTGGATTCATTAGACTCTTTTTTAAGCAGGCAAATAATATTCAGAGTCTGTGGTCACTTTTATAAACATAGATGGGACACCAGCTGCCTCAAATTGTTACTCCTGGACACTGTGCTTTTCCACTATGCTGGCATAAGTAGCTCCAACCCAAGCCATTCTATGATTTCCCCAACACACGTGACAAAGTTGTTCAGTGGTGACCTCTGAGGAAGCTTATGTTTCACAGAATGCTTGGGAAAGCCCTTTCACAAGTGGACAGGTAATTTATGACATAGGAAACAGTAAATTTAAGAAGTCTGTTTTTGCAGTGGACAGAGATTATAAGGATCTGTTCTTGCTTCCATTCTATTCCTCATAAACATCTTTTAGTATTGTTAACAGCAAATTTTCTCCTGTTTGTTTTAGTCGTCTTGGTAAGGAAGGCTGAGCTTAAAAGAATTTCTGGTGAACTCTTACTTCCCTGAGTAGCTATGTGATGAACTGGCTGATGTGTGTGGAAACAGCTGTCTTACCTGGAATAGTTAGTTCCAAGCTGATTGAGTTTTGGAGGGAATAAAATATTGCAATTATAATAGCTAATTATAATAGCTAATTCTGTCAAAATAGCTTTTTAAAGCTATCCCCAATGTACCTTGGGGATAGCTTTAAAAAAAGACACAATATCCAAAATGAAGAAATATGTTTAACTTGAGGTGATTGCATCCTATATATCTTAAATGTGGGGAAAACGGTAAGCTAAGGAAAAAATGTCTGTGCTCATGGGAGATATGGAAGAGCTTCCATGTGAGAACTGTCTGAATAGATGAGGACTGTTGGTCCTGGGAAAGGCAGTGGGAGGAGATGGGGATGGTTGATACAGACTTAAGCTCCTGGAGAAGGCAGGAAGAGTCTGTTCACCATGTGCACAAGTAGTGGGCAGATGAGGCAAAGGTAATAGGTGACAAACTCTCACAAGAGGGGATATCCTGCAGACTGGTTGCTGAGTTTCTGACTGCAAAAAGTGCCTCAGCCACGTTCATGGAAGAAAACTTCACTGGGGACTGTTAAACAGAAATGTTGTGTCTGTGCTCCAGGGGTTCTCCAAGACACAAATTTCTGGAGCCTAATCAAGTGTTTTGAGAGTTTGGAGTCACTTTTTACAGTCTGCAGAGTGATCTGAGGACCTGGGTACCTCAGTGTTGTAAGGCTTTATACATGAAACAGTTCAAATTGAAGGCAGATATGAGCAGAGCAGCAGAAGAGCTGCCCATGGATGTGTGATAAGCTAGTATTATACATCAGGTTGATGATGTGTATAGAGCTTATAGAGCTGTCTGCTGGGTGGTGTAAGAACACAGACATGTTGAAAGTATTCCTGGCATTTGTGCTGCAAAACACTCATGCTATTAGATTTTGTTCTTTAAGATGGGAGTTTGTTTGTACCAGTCCTGCTACAAAGGATCTTCAGTTGTACTTGTGCCTGGAAGCACCAGTTAGAATACAAAGATTGCATTCAACAATTCATATAGATTACATCAGACAACTTACTACAAAATGCTTCCATGTATAATGTGGTTTTGTAATGGAGGAGAACAAAAACTGGGGCTTTGTTGCTAAATCTTTAGACAGATATTTATGTTGGATGAAACTGCATCCAGCCATGTGTTCAAACACTAAGTACTGTGATGCTAGAAAATAAAAAAGTAGTGGTGGAAATACAGAGAATAATATATGAGTAAAATATAACTGGGAGAAGATACATATCTTCAGGTTATAGTAAAGTTTCTTGGGTTTATAGCAGTATTTTGCATATTTAAATAGGAACATGTTTAGAGTAATTTTGGAATCCTGAATTGCAGGGAAATATCTTGCCAGCTTGAAGAACTTGAAGTGGTTCAGTCTTTTCCCACTGTCTTCATATCCTCAAAGTGTACAGCAGACAACTGTTGGGTTTTTTTTCCACTACTTTTGTATGATTTTCCCCCTTCCATTCTTAACTCCCCAGATAATTTCAGGGGTGTCTATTGTAGTCATGATTTCTATTACTCAACGTTTGGAATAAAAGACTGAATAGTTTCCCCCCACTCAACTTTCACCCCTTGTTGTGATCCTGTTTTATGTTTAAATAGTTATATGTCCAGAACTAAGCAGTGTAATATGATTTGAAAGATGGATAAACATGACTTTAGTTTCCCAAGTTAGTATTCCACAATTTGATTTACAGTAAAAAGACCAGTGAAAAGTGGCGTGTGGTTGTACTAACTTTGTAAGTTACTATTCAGAAGAACTGAGATGATTGGGATGGGTTAAAAACTGTACAGCTCAAAAAGCATTTTGGCTGTTTCAAGTGGAGAAACATCTTGATAAATGCTTGTGCCTTAAAGACGAAAAGGAACATGGTAACTGATTTCCTGTTCTGTCTCCTGAGTAAGAAATGCAATGTTTTTCCCTGTTTTAGTTGCAGACATTCAACACTGCTGCACCTTGCAGAGATGTTCAGGACCTGACTAACGGGGTTGCCATGGCGCAGGTACTTCACCAAATGTAAGTTGATATTGGAGAAGAGGTATTTAATTTCTTGAGGGTTCTGTGTTTGCCATGCCCAGCTTTTAAGTAGGCAGAACCTTAGGGGGGACAGTTTACAGGAGAAGATAAAATATACCTTTGTATTGTTGTTTTGGGGATGGTGTAATAGTTCAATATCATAGAATATCTCCTCATCGTCTTCTTCATTCTGATACTGCAGTATTAAATTCATACTTCAGGGTAATTGGGCAGGAATGATAGGACCTTTCTCACTTTTTCTGTCAGCACTCTTTCCATGGATATCCATACTTCAGGCAATATGTTCCACTTTATGAGGAACTAAAAGTTCAAATGATGTCTTTGTGCTGTCTTCCTTTGGGATTGCTCAGTTGATTTAGTTTTAAGTTCTAGGATTTATATAACTGTGTGGAAAAAACAAATTGTGAAATATCAATGACAGTTTTAGTATTAAATAATTAAGAGTTTGCTAATCAAATCATTCCTATTTTATTGGTGTGATGATAAAGGGTACAGGGTTGAGTGACATACTAGGTGTGAAAGTTATATTTCCTTCAGAGGGCTGTAACACAAATATGCTGCAGGTCATTGCTGGAGCTTTATGGTTGTTGGCTCAGATAATTAAGCAGAAGTCTGAATTACTGTTTCCTGGTCAAACTGTATTTTTAATTACTAAGAATTTACTTAATCACCACCATCCTCCCAAAAAACCTCAAACCAAAATAATACATAAAAAACACCCCCAAACCAACAAAACCCCAAACCCATAAACCCCACTCTGTCTGCTTGAAAAGGTTTTAAGCATGCTGAGTAAAGGCAGAGCTCGCCCTTTTCCTGGGAATAGCAAAAATTGATTTAGGATTACTTAGTGAAGATTCACTGAGCAGTGTGTGTGGTATGAGGCTGCTACAGGTTTTGGGCATATTTCTTTGCAAACACATTGGTTGATGCTAGTGGGGATAATAATTGGGTGTAATACATAGATGCTTTCAGACCAGTGAGTAAACAATATGGTGAGAAGAGAGGTTGTTAGATATACTGTGATTGTATCGTGCTGCAGCTCAGTGTCTGTTAACACTTCCCTCAGCACCTCATCCTTGTTTGTGCTGGCAAAGTGAATATAATTCTGCCCAAGGGAACCAGTGACACACAAAAAGATTGAATGCCGGTAGTTTAAACCAGGTTTTTTCTTAATAAACACCTTTGACAAACTGTGGCAAATACTGGAAAATGGAAATGTATGAGAGTAGGTATCAAATGTAACATCAGCACTAGTCAAAGGAGGCTATTTCTTTACATCATTATGATCACTTTGTCAGGTATAAAAATTCAGCATGACAAAGGCCTTGTGTTCCTAGCTGTAGCTAGCTCAAGCATGTACAGGAATTCTTCTTGCCCTGGAATGCGTTGTCTTAATGCAGCCAGCAGGATGGAAATTGCCTGTGACACAAGTATAATTTGCAGTCTTGAGGAATTTGTGCCTTGTTAGACACCATAGTCAGACAGCCAGTGCTGGGAATCTGATATCTTATTTATGTAAGTGTGCTTACTGACATTTAGTCATTTGCTTTTGTTTCAGAGATGTTGCTTGGTTTGATGCATCTTGGCTAAACCGCATTAAAGATGATGTTGGTGACAACTGGAGAATAAAGGTATTCAAAACTGAAATCAGTGGAAGTTTGTGGGGTTGGACATGTTGTCTGTCCTGAGAGTATTTAGCAGTCCAAAACCCATAGAATTAAGTTCAGACTTTTTTAAGGTTATTTTAAATGAACTTGGACAGTCTGTTGATAGTTTTAAGTGCCTTCCAGCATTGTTGCATGGGGATTTTCTTCTCCATTATTTCTCTTCCCCTGTCATTATAGATTCATATCATAGAGCTGTTATGTGAACATGTTGGTATAAATTATTATTTAAAGAATTTTAATGAAAGCCTGTAACCTTATCTTTCATGTACAACAATTAGGCCAGTAACCTGAAGAAGATACTGCAAGGAATTATGGACTACTATCATGAGGTATGGAAAAACCAGCATTTTTTCTGTTGTTCTAATTATTAAACATGATTATTGTCCTCTTCACCTAGCTTATTTGTTTTCCTGGCAAACTAATTTATTTGAAGGACTTTCTTGGCAGAAAGTAAATGAGAATTAACTGGTTAAGTGGAGGTGTGAGTGATAATAACATTAATTTGTGCAGGTGTATTTTAGATAAGGTTCTTGGAATATAATCTGGAGACCATGTCTCTTTCATTGCCCAGGTAAATGTCACAAAGACTGAGCTGCAGAATCCTGTTGGCTTTTGTGCACGGATTCATATTTGCTCTTGTCTAATGAAGTTTTAATCCTTTTTTACACAACAGAACAGATTCAGCAAGCCTAATCTAAGTTTTATGGTGCTCACTTGGAAGCAGAGAGAGAGAGGTTACAAATCCTTCTGGACGCAGAAAGGATGACAGTTTGTTCTCTCATGCAGGATGCGTGGGGTAGCCATAAACAGGTGCTATTTATTGAGCTGATTTTTGTATGGAGCTTGATTATAGTAATGTAATAGGTATGGTATAGAAAAACTTGCCAGATCATCTTGTGGCTTCCTGGTCTCACTTGGGCTTAGTTGTGATATTGAGTGCCAAGCCCTTCTGTATTGCCAGGACTGAGGCTGTCTGACAAAGCCAGAAGTAGAAATTCTTTAGGCTTATGAGGAGCTTTTTGAAGGCTTATGGAACAACTGAATTTGGAAGCATTTTTAATTCCTTTTTTTATTATATTGGTAGAATAAGTTAATTCTCTCATATTTGAAGTTTAGCCCAAAAACTTTTTAGCTTCCTGCTATTGCTTTTCCCTGTGTAAGTGGTCAGTTAGCTAAACCCCCACTTAATTAACTTTCAAAATATGTGGTTTTGCCAGAACAATTTTATAGAACTCTTAAAAGTGCATAACTTCATTACACTAAATAATTGCTAGGTGGTTTGTGTATATATATTTTTAATGCTGTTTACTGTAGATTAAATTTAGGCCTATTCAGAGAAAAAACTGAGGTGCTAAGTATGGTTAAGGTCATTGGCTAACAGGGGATTGAATATGCGCTTCCCTAAAACATATCCACACTGAGGGATGGAGACAGACATTTGGAATAGTCTGCTGGTGCAGGAGAGGCACAGTGTGTGACTTGGTGTTTCATGTATGAAGCCCCATAACAAATGATTTAAGAACATCTGCTTTATTTAGACCTCTTCAGATTTCCTAATCTGTTGCTGTTATCTGTATAGTCTTTCGTAAGCCAGTATTTTTAGAGTGTCTCCACGCTTAATGTTTAAGATCTTTTCCTTCCTTAAGTTTTACAGTAACAAACTTATTAATAGACCATTTTGTCTGGATGGCTGGGTCTAGGTTTCTTACATGATACCAGATTTTCATGTGCAGAAGTGGGATTCTACTTTCTGTCTTCTTTTCTATTATTTATAATTTTCTTTTTTATTTTCCTCAGTTTTTGGGTCAGCAGATTTCAGAAGAGCTTATTCCAGACTTAAACCAAATATCTGAGAACTCGGATCCCACTGAACTGGGGAGGCTTCTGCAGCTTATTTTAGGCTGTGCAGTCAACTGTGAAAGGAAACAAGGTATGCACTACCCTAACCTGTTCAACAAACAGCAGACTGCCTTGGGTGATTGCTAAAGTGGATGAGTTGTAGAAGCTTTTCTCATGTGTTAAAAAATCTCTGTTGTTAATCTGTTACATGCCTATTCTGAAACTGGAGTTCACTTAAAATCTGTGGGGAAACTTCCTTGTACAAAACTCAGAACTTTGCTCAGGGTAGGTTTAAAAAAAATAGTCTGAGGTGTCTGTGAATTATTCATATTTGTTAAAATATAAACCAAGACCTAAAACTTGCTATTCAAATGCCAATCAATCAAGTTAAATTAAAAAATTATATTAGAAATTGCTTTTTGTTTGTTTGCAGAGGCTCAAGACTGAGTTAGTTGAGTTTTCTCTCCCCTTATCAGAACTAATGCTCAGTGCTTGAGTGGGTATGGAATCCTCAGCATTACTTTACTAGTAGAATAGGTTTGATTGTTATGTAGTCTGAAATGACTTTATGTAAGAGTGTTTGGGAAGCCAGCTGTCAGGCTGCACTGGGAATGAAGATGCCAGCAATTACTTTTTTCCGTGAAGTTTTGTTTATTATCTCAGTTGCAAGCTTATCACTCTTTGGAAAATATTATATACATACATACATAGAGGAATGTATGAAAAAGACCCATGGAAATACAGATGACTTAAAACCTCCTTGGTGTACTATGCATAGTATTAATTTGTTAATTTAAGGGATTATAATCCCTTATGTTTACCTACCATATTACTGTATAATAATGTTGTTGTTTAACACTAGTGCTCTGTATAAAACGAGCAGTACCTGTTTTGAAGAAGCTTTATAGAGAATAGTTTCTCCTGGATCTCTCTGCAAACAGTATGTCATGTTACTTAAGCCAGTAAGGTGAACGTTGTCATGACTCACTACAAATTCTTGTTCACAGAACACATACAAAATATCATGACCCTTGAAGAATCTGTTCAACATGTTGTCATGACTGCAATTCAAGAGGTAAGTAATAATTCATAGCCTACAACAACAATCAACATCTGTTTGTTGATTTGTGTGAATTCTTTCTCCAAGCAAAGGTCAAGGAAGAGCATAAGTACTTCCCTAAATGAGAAGGGTCATGATTAAGAGGCTCCAGACCCCAACCCCGGGGTCTTGGATTTAGTCTTGTATGCCCAAACATGCAACTTAGAGAGACAATAAATGCTTAAGATTTCTTGGTTCATACAAGAAATGTATCTTATTTCCAACCATCCATTGTACTGGAGTCAGGTTCTGAAACACCTGTCTCAGTGCTGTAGTTAAGCTGGTTGTAACTGTTTGTGAGGCTACATTCTTCTCACAGACCATTCCAGCATCAGATTTACAAACTCCCAGCTGCATCTCTCCTATTCTGGTCATGGTGTGCTCCTCTTGCACTCTTGACTTGTCTTTGGTTGGATCATCTTACTGATCCTGCTCACGGCACAGCCCTACAGTCAGTCTCATCTGTGAGCTTCAGGGCTGTGAAGCAGAGTGTGGAGGGAGGCAAAAACTAAATGCTAACTTTGAAGAAAATGTAATGTGTGATTGCACTCTCATCAAGGTAACAATGGAGTTGGCAGTAGGCTTTAAAACTTAGATTTAAATTGACTATATAATCTTTAAAACTCTATCCTATTTGGGGGAATAAATCCATAAACCTCTTATTTGTTGTATTCTGACAAATCAGACTATTTCTGAAGAAGGTCTAGATATAATACTGTAATTCTCAAATAAGAAGTAAATCCTTTCAATTGCTGGTGAACATACTGTGTACATTTATGCACTGGAGATCTGAGAGAGCTATGTGAATGTTTCCAGTGTTTGCTTAATGGCAATTAAAGTGACACAAAGTGTGATAACTGTAAATTAATTGAGTGAGACGACATCCTCTGTTTCACTCTGTTTTAACTTGACTAATGGGGAGCAATAACTTCAACAGATCACAGATTCATCCAGTAAGATGTTACTGCTAACCTTGTTAATTTGGGGAGGAGGGTGGAGTAGAAGCTGTCATCTAGATTTGTTTACACCTTTAATGAACAATAAGATTTTTTTTTAGTATTATGAGTCTGTTTTGATGTATTCAAGGGATGCAAGGACATGTGGAAAATACAATTGCTACTTAGCAGACAATGAATTTACAGATACTTAACCTTCTTTTTACTGTGGCCTCTTTCTGTAGCTCATGAGCAAGGAAGTAACAGGTCCTTCCACATGTGATGCATCAGGTGACATGGAACAACAGGTAACTGCATAATATTTATTGCTGCTGTAGTTCAAGCCTGAACAATAAGTTGGTATCTTGCCATCCTTTGAATAAAGAGGTGTTGCTCCTAAAATGAAGTTGTCTTTATGTTTGTAAAAGTAGCTGCCCATAAAGGAGCACCAGCATTTCTATTCTGAGATGAAGGATGATTGATATAACAGGCAGGGATTTTGAAACTGTGACAACATGTACCCATATTTGGTTTTGTTATACTTTTAGCCTAAGTTCTGTTGAATCTGGATGTTACTCTGAGTTTCAGTACTTCACTTTTGACATGTAGTGGTCATTTAAAATGAAGGTAAAATGAACAGAGATGGTTATCTAACACAGTACATATAGGTTTCTGTGTCAGTGTGTGCACATAAAATCCTTCGTAAACAATTGTAGACACAGTTGAGGTGAATTGGAAGCTAGAAATGTGAGTAGATTGGATATGGACAGAATGATTGACTATCATATTTTTTTTAAAGCTTAAAAAAGCTTTGGAAGATCTTCAGGAAGCACTATCAGAAAAAGAAGAGTTGGCACAAAGATGTCAAGAGCTGGATTTACAGGTAAGAAACAGCAAGTTGCTTATTTCTTTAATACATAGTGGTGCTGCTGTTAAGATGCAGAAGTTCTGAAGGGCAAAGTGAATTTTGAATTTGTTTAGTTATATGAGAATTCTTAGCTGTTTGTAGGGGGTAAAAGCAATCCTGTACTCCTGAATGCAATTGCTGGGAATACACTTCAATCAGAAACTAAGCTGAGGTCCTCAGCTGTTAACTCAAAGGTTGTTAGATCTGCTAGCTTTATGTTTACCCTTAGTAGCAAGTATCATCAAAGCAATGTTATGGTGGCTTTAAAAATAGCCTATTTAATTTTAAGTCACTGCTTCCTCTAGTCTTTTGAACTGTGTCCAAAACACCCAGTTCATATAATCAGTCATCAGATTTAATCATAGGAAAGTGATGCTCTTTTCAATGGGAGTTGATGATAGACTAAAATGTGAGATTTATTTAAAAGTTACTAATTTTTTGTCACACAGAGCTGAAAGATGGAGGATATTTTGGGAATTAAAGAGAATGGAAACTAACAGACCCTTGTTAGAGTTTTCAAACCGTACTGATAATAGTAGTTAATGAGGTCACTCTTTAGAAAAAGGAGAGAGAAGTTCATAACAAGAAACAGGAACTTGCATTTCAATCCCCTTGTTTAAAAAAAAAAAGAAATCCATTTGTCAGCCCTAAGTCTTGAACTGATATTTCTTTTTTCTTGAGGCAGTAATAAGGCTTCCTAGTGAAAGCAGAGATCTAAAATTGCTTCTGAGCAGTATTTGCAGGCGAAAATGATGTATTTTAAATGGGGAAGGGGCTTGATTTGACAGCTGAATTCACAGTTGACAGTTGTTAAACTTCAAAAAGTGTGTTCACTGTTCAGAAGCTTTCCCTTCTAGAGGTGCTGGGATAACAGTTTACTCACACTTTTGGCTTCCATTAGGAGTCTTAGACTTAGAGTAGTCCCAGGCTTTCTCCTGTCTCCCACAAACCTCTCTTTTGAGATTTCTCAATGCTAAGTTACAAAGCCAGTTGCTCGTAACATAGCATGGGCCAGGTGAAGGCATGAAAGGTGTTTGAAGGAAGGGTGCAAACACATGCTTTAATGGCACCAGAGTTTTAATACTGTAGTGTGTTTTTAAACTATCTGTTCATAATTTGTGTTGACTTTGACACCAATTCTGTTATGTTGAAATAGTAGAAAAGAAGACGAGAAAGATAACAGAAAGGGACCGAGAAAAGATGAAGAACTTGCTCTGGGTTGTGCAGTAGTTTCTTTTTCCTTTGTGATTGTTGTGCATGTTTAAGGAGTGGCTGAACCTTGATCAGGAAGTATTGTGCTGAGCAAGGCTCAGGTATGCCCTTTACTCACAGGTGCTTTGTGTGCATGTGTATTGTAAAGTGCCATCTGGTATCTAAAAAGGAGTGAACCTAAAAGCCAGCACCTAGTGAAGTGGGAGATTACTAATTTGGTTTTCACATTTGTTTGTCTGATAGACTTTTAAATGATGATCAGAAGCTGTTTTAATATTGCATACTCCAGGTTATATCTGATGCTTAATTTAATAATGTCACCATGATATGTTTTTATTTTATTGATTTGAAGCCGTAATATTGACTGACGCTTCTCATTTAAACTAATTCTTAATAAATTCACTTGTAAGGTCTCAATCTTCCTTGATATTTTCCAAGAGTATAAGAAAGGTAGGTTTTCTTTATGATTCAGGAAAACATAACCCAAAAAGCATATCGTCCCTGTTTAAATGCCAGTTAACTAACACATGCTACATGCTCTTATGTTTGACAGGATGTTAAATTAACACAGCAGCTTTCACTAGAAAAACTTTGAAGGTTCTATCCTCTTAATCCTTCCCCATTTTATGGCTGTTAATATACTTACTGTTCCAACAAAGTGTTGTATTCTCATTTGCTTAGCTGTGAACACTTTTCGATATCAAACCTGTTTGACTGTTGCAAACAAAATGCATGCTCTCTATGAAGCTGCCTAGGATTTTTGTTGCGTGTGTGCTTACCAGCTTACGGCGCCTGAAACCGCTTCTTGCGCTACCATCCACTGCTGAGCGCACGGCAGTACTGTGGTAATGTGCTAGCCAGTGCCATCCTGCTTCTTATTGTTAAGCACAAGCAAGATGGAGAGTACCTTTACACCAGTTAAATTATATAATTACTTTTTGGATGGTGTCCCTGGTATCCTTTTTAATGAAAGTACCAGCCTCTCTCCATATCACATTGTCTGCCTTTACCATGGTGTGTTACAAAAACTATGTCGTCTTATTATTTTTAGAGGGACTTTTCCTGTAGTGCTTCATAACTGTCGTACACTAAAGCATCCGTATGCTTAAGTATGCTGTGTAAATTACATTCTAAAATCTCTAAACGCTCAAACCTTTTTCATAAACTGATTTGGTGATGCACTGCTGTCTTGCTTCAGCTCTTTCCAGTTGGACAGGTCTTAAATTGGTGGTGCTGTTTTATCTGCACTAGGTGGCTGCCCTCCAGGAGGAAAAAAACAGCTTGATGTCAGAAAATGAGATTATGAATGACAGGCTAGAGCAATTAGATGACTCCCTTGATGATCCAAATACTGTGGTTGCAAAAAAGTATTTTCATGCACAGTTGCAGCTGGAACAACTGCAAGAAGAAAACTTCAGGTATGAAATGATTTCTCTCAGTCTCTCGCTTGACTTGTCAAATATATCCTGCAAATTTCGGGTATGCTTTCAGGGTTTTCCATCTCAGTTTCTTTTGCGATAAAAGCTGCTTGGTACTGGATAAATATATTTTCAAGGCAGTCTTTGCCTTTAAAAAGAAACCTTTTCATGTTGTAGAAAGTATTACTTTGTAATTGCCATATTATAGCCATTTTACACCTCGAAAAAGGTGATGGAGGGCAGAAAATGAGTGCCAAAGTGATCTGTATGTAAACAAAAGCAACCCTAAACCCCTCAAACCCACCATATCTCTTTACTGTGCTGATTTCTTCTACTTATTTGTCTCTCCCCCTGTGATCTGTAGGGGGGGATCAATTTTCATGCAGTTCTTTGATACTGATATGGTAAATTTGCAGTGTACAATCCATTATGATTTAAAAGGTGGACAATAAAATATTCCATACTTACAGTACCATTTTCCTGGCTACTCAAGTCAATAGGTTTCTTTTGCCTTAGTTATTTTTAGTAGTTCTAGCAGTAAATGACATATGTGTGATAATGATGAGTTCTTAACAGAGTTCTTTTTTGATCTGGTAGGCTTGAAGCTGCGAAAGATGATTATCGCGTCCATTGTGAAGACCTAGAAAAACAGTTGATTGAACTGCAGCATAGAAACAATGAGCTAACCTCCTTGGCAGAAGAATCTAGAGCCTTGAAAGATGAAAATGATATTCTTAGGTATATAATAGAGTTCCACACACACTAGGAGGATTTAATGACTGAATTCAAGGCTTTGTGTTTGGGCTTTTTTTTCTGAGGTGTTACTTCTGCAGGTCTTGTCTGCATGAGATCTAAAAAGTTGGAAAAGGGCCCTTTGACAAAGCAGAGGTGGAGCGAGGGCTTTCAGGTATAGTCTCTATTGTTTGCATAAGGAAAGCAACTTGGAATTTTTTCTGTGAAGAAGGATGGATAAGTACAGAAATTATTATTCTTTGGGATGGAAGGTTGAAGTTCCAGAAGAATTAAGAAATTTTGAGGGGAGTGTGTGTGCATTTCTATTAAGGGGACATTTTTGTTGGCAACAAGCTGCCTTTTCTGATGTAGAAAGCCATATAAGCAGCTAGAATTTTGACATAGCTTCTGGTGTCAGCATTCTAGGCTAGATTTAGGTTAGCAAAAGGATTAACAAAATGAAGATGAAATATGCAGTAGCCTTGACGAGAATTTAACATTCCAGCTTGTGCAAACCAAATTAAATACCAGACCACCCAAGGAATATCAAAAGAAATCATACTGCAAAGGCAGATCTGCTATTCATAAAATAACATGAATAAAACATGGAAAGAAAAGTGGTTTCAGGTGTTTGTTATAGTTGTTCCTAAATAGCATCTGAAACATCTTAACTATAAGGTTTTTTCCATCATTTTCTCATACTAGCTTCTAGTGATATAATATGAAAGGATTAAACACAAATACTAAATTTGTGTATTTATGATAATAAATATAAAGGAGGTGATCCTGCCCCTTTATTCTGCTGTCATGAGACCTCACTTGGAGTATTGTGTGCAGTTCTGGTGTCCTTAACATAAAAAGGATGTGGATCTGTTGAACAAGTCCAGAGGAGGACCACGAGGATGATCAGGGGACTGAAGCACCTCCCATATGAAGATCAGCTGAGAAAGTTGGGGCTGTTCAGCCTGGAGAAGAGAAGGCTGCGTGGAGACCTCAGAGCAGCCTTCCAGTATCTGAAGGGGGCACATAGGGATGCTGGGGATGGACTCTTCATTAGGGACTGTAGTGATAGGACAAGGGGTAATGGGTTAAAACTTAAACAGGGGAAGTTTAGATTGGGTATACGGAGGAAATTCTTTCCTGTGAGGGTGGTGAGGCACTGGAATGGGTTGCCCAAGGAGGTTGTGAATGCTCCATCCCTGGCAGTGTTCAAGGCCAGGTTGGACGAGACCTTGGGTGATATGGTTTAGTGCGAGGTGCCCCTGCCCATGGCAGGGGGGTTGGAACTGGATGATCTTAAGGTCCTTTCCAACCCTAACTGTTCTATGATTCTATGATCCAAATATTTTCTTACCACATAGATTTTTGTTAATGATCAGCTGGTGATTCTTGGCCGTATCAGCTCATCATAGTTTTCATAGTGCAATTACATTCTAATTATGTATAACCCCACAACGAGAGCATCATCTGTGTGTGTTTTCCGTACCAGGGGCCAGTGCTTTGAGGCAACTACCTAGCACGGGATGTTGTGGTGCATTTACATTGCACTCCACAGAATTCCCTGGAGATATTTGACATACTAACTCTTGCATGTACTTCTGGCATACAACTGTTAGTCTTACACCCACTTAAAACCTTGCGGTGATCTCAATGTTTATAAGCAATCTTTGCATAACGCAAGTTTGCCTCAATTATGCATTTAAAAATAAAGCAGTAAGATTTAACTCTGCTGTTAAGCATGTTTTATAGCATTGTAGAATCAAATACATGGGAAAAGACCTTTAGGATCATCAAGTGCAACGTTTACCCCAGGACGTTTCTGTTTTTGAGAATAGCTTGAATGTGCACAACAGCAGAATTTGGCTTTTTTTAGTCTTTTGAAGAAACATGGGCTTCTAATTTCTGTTTCTACTTTAAGGGCTACTGCAGACAAGGCAAGTAAGCTGGAATCTACTGTTGAGGTGTACCGTAAAAAGCTGCAGGATCTGAATGACTTCCGCAGGCAAGTCAAATCTCTGCAGGAAACCAACATGATGTACATGCACAATACTGTCAGTCTGGAGGATGAACTGAAGAAAGCCAATGCAGCACGTGCCCAATTAGAAATCTACAAAAGACAGGTAAGGCTGCATCTATACTTAAAACGTTGCTTTTTCCTCAGGTAGTTATCTTACCTAAATAAAGTTATTTTAATTACGTTTCAATGAAAAAAAATTAAACAGCTTCATCATGGGCTTAGCCTGTGTTGTCCATTTTAAATCTCTTCCTAGTCTCTGCCATTTACTTGCTGTTTTCCTCTTATTTATTAAACTGTCCACCTTAACTGTAGTTGCCCTCTCAAATGATTGGGTGTCTGTGGTTTGCAGGCTTTTCTTCTCTGCTTTAACTGAGGTAGTTTCTGTGCCTGGGAGGTCACTTGGGTGTAATATTCTTAACTTGCTTCATGGAAATTTATTTTAAACTATAGAAGTTTAATTGTGATTTCACTTAATTCAGTAGTAATTAAGAGATGCAGGAGTTAACTATTTAAAAAAAAAACAACTAAACAAAATAACATAAGCAAAACACCCCCAAAACCACAGCCCCCATCACACCTCTGTCCCCCTGAGCCTGAAGGACCAGGTATTTGTCTGAACTGGGCAGGAGTGAAGGTTTTAACATAGCTTTTAAAGGTAGCATCTTGCAACATTCATGTGCTGAATAGATACACACTTACTTTTAATAAAAAGGTCCAGGAGCTTCATAACAAGCTGTCTGAAGAATCAAAAAGAGCTGATAAGTTTGCATTTGAAATGAAGAGACTTGAAGAAAAGCATGAAGCTTTAATCAAAGAAAAGGAGGTAAGTCTCCCTTGAATGAGCTCTTATTTGAATACCTAATAAATTTCTGAAATGCTCTGCTTGAGGAAAACCTTCCCAGAAGTAGTGCTACCCTAAAAATACATGTATTAAACATAAATATATGCAAATACACATGAAACATGTCTTAAAATGTGTGTGTGTCAGTGCTATTCCTGATTAATGTTATTTGGTCTAAAAGTGGTGCACTATGACTTAATCCCACCTCCAATATATCACCTTAGAGACTGATAGTACAGTGTGATGCATTAAAAGAAACAAATGAAGAGCTCCGGTACTCACAGATGCAGCAGGATCACCTGACTCAAACAGGTATTGCTTATTTTTCAGAGGCTTTTTTATGTATATTTGTGATTGCTTTAAGTTTGTTAAACTAAACTTCCCATGCAATTTCAGGTGGATCTCCTGTTAAAAGCCATGAGAATCTTGCTGCTGAAATTCTGCCAGTGGAATATAGGTAAGGCAAAAAGGTTGAGGTTGGGATTTGCATGGATAATGTTGCTGCCATGAAAGTTCAGTATTTTCAGCAACATGACTCATTTCCGACTTCCTGCTTTCTTTCCGTGATTCTTGTTTAGACCTCCAGGTAGCTGTTAGTAATTATTTCCCCATACTATAATTACTTTGCATTCTTTCTTAAAAGCATATGAGATTGCTGTGTATAAAGCTTGGCTTGAAACATCCTCTAAGGAGCAGAACAATTCCTATTTTGCCACTGGCAGACAGACTAAATAAATAATACACAGCAACTAAGGCAGACCATCAAAAAGCTGGCTACTACTGCTTTTAAAGTCTGTCAGAATGAAACATAAAGGTACAATAAAATCTGGGTTTGGAGTGACTTAATTTAAAACTTTGCTCATGTATTTCATAAAACTATTGTGATGTTTGAAAATCTTAAGTTACCCTTAAATAAAAAATTGCAGTTAGCCCAACTATATCCTTAGGCAGAACTTGTTTTGCTCACTTGAAGGTTGGGGGAATGAAAAGGAGTGTAATCTCCTACTCTTAGTTACCTTTTTCTTAACTAACAATGACTTTTGTTGTTTTTGATTCAGAGAAATGTTTATTCGGCTGCAGCATGAAAATAAGATGCTCCTATTAAAACAGGAGGGATCAGAAAATGAACGTATTACGGAGCTCCAGGAACAGCTGGAGCAAAAGCATCGGACAGTGAACGAACTAGAAACTGAGAAAAGGTGATGGGTGAAACAGCATCTTAAAATGAACCTTAAATTGAAAGAAGTTAGATTTAGATTAGGTATTAGGGAAAAATCCTTTGCTGTGAGGGTAATGAGACACTGGCACAGGTTGCCCAGAGAAGCTGTGGCTGCCCCATCCCTTGCAGTATTCAAGGCCAGGCTGGTTGCGGCGTTGAGAAACCCGTTCTAGTGAAAGGTATCCCTCCCTATGGCAGGGGGTTGGAACTGGATGAGCTTTAAGGCTCTTTCTAACCCAAACCTGTCTGTGATTCTGTGAAAATGTATCAAAAAGTGATTTCTGGACCTTGAGAGTGGTGCTTTGCAGGAAGCCGGTTATCCTTTTTCTTTCACCAGTGTAACTATTAATGGAGTTGAGAAGCAAGAAGCAAGCAAGAAAATAGCTTTAATGTGGTGGTGTAGAATGTGATAGAGCTATGTGTAGTGAACTCTGAAGAGAGTGTTGCTTATTGGATGCTCTTCGCTCTGAATGGTAGACCAAGAATGGATGTAAACTCCATTTCTAGAACTTCAAACTAACTGTGGTATGACACTGAGTTATGCTCTGAACTTCTCTATTAGTTAATATTGAAAGCAGTTTACTAGTTTATGAGAATTCTAGGTAGTTAAATTTTGAGAAAACTTAAAGGGATTCTAAGTCTTTCATTGTAAAATGTTTATAAAGCTACCGTGTGTGTTTCAGCAGTTCAAGTCAAACTAAAAGCATTTGAAATCAGTTTCTTTATGTCTTAAGTCCTGCTGGGTAGACTCTGAAAAATTACCATCCAGACATGAAACAATAATCTGTTGTGATCTATTTAGATGGGTAATAACCATCTTTTCTTCCTAACAGGCTAAATGAAGAGCGTATTGGAGGGTTACAGCAGCAGATTGAAGATCTGCAAAAGACTTTACAGGAGCAGGGATCCAAGACTGAAGGAGTAAGTGAATGTTCTGGCTTGACCTTGAAGATATCTTGCCAGTTTGTTTAAAATGCTTCAGTGTAACATCAAGTATGAGAATTCACAAGACCCCCGCACCACCTGCATTTCAGTTGAGAAGCTCATGTTTTAGGTGATCCCTTCCCCAGACCTACTTTGAGGAGCTGTAGCGCTTCTACCCTCTCTTCACTTTTAAAAATCTCTAGTTTTGTCCTTAAATGGTGGTATAGTGAGAAGGATAGTTTTAAAGAAAAAAGGTGCTGGAATTGGTATCTGTGCAGTCAAAAAGTTTGAATGCAGTTACAGAAATGCATGAAAAATGCAGTTTTCTCAGGATTTATTTGGTTTTGCTTACTTAGGTGTGCTAAGTATTCTTGGCTGATTTGTAAGAGCCCTTTAGCATTGCATGGTAAGAAATACTGAAATATAACAGAATTTTAACTCTTTCCTTTTACAGTCTAGCAACTTGAAGCAGAAGTTGGCAGCACATATGTAAGTAAGGCACATGCATCTGCTATAGCTTATTTATACAAAGTAATTTAACTGTTGTAGCACAGAAACTACCTAAGTCTTTGTAGGGATGTCTTGTTTTTCTAAGCCAGTGATGTGAGAATCCTTCATGTAGTGAGTTAAGTATTAACATTCCGGTTTTGTCTACTCTGATCATGATAATCTTGTAATACTAGTATCCAGTTCACTCTCTCTTCATCGGCAATACTATTTTAACTGTTCTGATTCTACAGCAGAGTCCTAAAAACATCACTCTTACTGGACTCAAAATATATTTAATTCTTCTGAAATATTTCCATCCTTTCAGCAGGTGTAATTCCTGCTAAGTAGATGCTGGAGGGGTTATTGTTCATTTGCTTTTTTGTTTCTAATTTTATGTAAATGATACTCAATTCAGAGTCACAACTTTTATGGTTCTTCAAAAATATGTACTACTATTTCTTTTTAAACTTTTTTGAGTTTAAAAGAGTTCTTTAGACACTTCCACCAAGTTTTAGCTTTCAACTTGTAACACCGGGCATGGAGTTACTCGTGAGTTTAATCCTCAGCCCAGCCTTCCGTTTGTAGGGAAAAGCTAAATGAAGTTCATGATGAGTTACAGAAGAAAGAGGCTGATCTTGCAGAGCTCCAGCCTGATGTTAGTCAGAATCGTAAGTTGTTTTCTGTTGCTATGGGATGCTTCTTATAAGACTTAAGTTTCTTCTGAAATGATTTCCACAGTCACTGGGCTCTGGGATACTTGTCTGAATAAAGGTTTCTGCTACAGCATAGCTTTAAACCTGAAATGGGGCTGGGGAGAAGTTCATAGGGTCTTAGTTCAGTTGAACAGTACTCTGCAAAATGGGAATGTAGGGTCAGGTAGGACCTTATGCTCTGAAATAAAAACCTTATAGACTGAAACGAAAACTTGGGAAATCATGTAGTCACTAGAAAGTTTATTTGGGGGTGGTTAAATCAAAATCAAAACACAGAATTCTTAAAAGTACTGTATCTGGTTTTATTTTATATGTCTTTTGTTGATAATTTCTGTCAATAGCCCAGAAGATTGGAGAGCTGGAAGCAGCTTTGCGTAAAAAGGATGAAGATATGAAAGCAATGGAAGAAAGATACAAAATGTACCTAGAGAAAGCAAGAAATGTGAGTGGCATATTTCTGAGCATACACATTCCTCCCTCATAAATTGTTATACAGGTTGAGTCCTCTGCTCTCCAATTCCCAATTAAAATTAGTAGCTACATGTTGAGGTTTTAGTCAAAACCACTCAACTGCAGTCAGTGAAGTGTATGAGAATTATGTTTAGACTGCAGCATGAGAGGCATTAATGATTATTCCTTTGTACCTTTTGGTATCTTTTTGTTGTACAGTTCAACAGCCTGATTTTCAACATAATTAAATGCTCAGGCTGTTTTCATGTTTCTGCTGTGAGTGAATGAGATGCAGAGCTGCTGAGAATCAAACCTGACTTGTAATGCTTTTGTTTTGCCTTGCGCAGGTGATAAAAACCTTAGACCCCAAACTGAATCCAGCATCAGCAGAAATTATGTCACTGAAAAAGCAGATAATGGAGAAAGACAAAAAAATTGAAGCACTGGAGGTAAAAGTTTATGTACTTAATAATAACTCCTGATATGTTCTGCTCTCTGTGATATTAGACACTCAAGTTACTGTTTCCTGATGATCCAGTACCATTCAGTGCTGCATTCAGTTAGAAACTGAACAGTCCATCAAACCTAGAGATTTTTAGTTTGGCTTAACCAGCTTTGTATCATAATATAAGCCTGTCACAGCAGTTTACTTTTAAACAGTGTTTTTCTGTGTACAACTGAAACACTAATACGGATTCTTTCTAAACTCCCTGTAAGTGAAACACTTTCTAAGACTAACAGTTTTTCTGTGTTTATGGTAACTTGTACAGAACTGCAGAGTCTGACCTTTTTCAGTAGTAATATAGCTTAGTTTGTGTGAAGGACTAGATAGTCAAGCAGTGAATTGTTTAAATTACTAGACTGCTGATATCAGTTCTGGAGTTCTTGAAACTATAAAGCAGAGTAAAACCTGTTAATTCAGTAAAACGTGCTTGGCTGAAATCCTGATTGGTGATAGTAGTCCAAGTACCAAGGAAAATTGCATTCAGTTTTATAGCAATATTGATGGGACTAGTTAGAATAGTTACCTGAGCAAATACAAAGTTCCTCAGCACGAGTTAGTAGGCTGAAAGGCCTGACTTTATAAATGCTGTGGCCCAAGATTTCTTCTGTGTGTATGTACTAGTTACATATACTATGTAATAACAATTCAGTAACATAAAAAATATTTAGCCACTATAGAGATACCTTGTCTTTTGACTTTCAGGTCAAAGAAATAATAAATCATATATAGATTTTTCTGATACACCTTAGATTTTCATGTTTTCTCACATATACACACACCTTCAAAGTACGTTTCTAACTTGAACTGCAACTTGCGTTGCAGTTAGCCTCCTCTTTTTAGTCCATAACTTCTCTCCTAGTCATTTGTGGAAGTATCTTTATTTATGCTTCTAAGTCTTATGGTCTTTTTGCATATTTAAGCTTTTCTGCTGCATGTGTTTATTTCATTCAGTGGACTGCAGTAAGTTTATACAGCTAATTTTTGTGGTTTGATTGAGATTATCTTCTCTGTTGTCTCCTTGCAGGCTGAATACAAACTTGCTAAGTTACGTGATTATGAGGAGAAGCTAATTGTAACTGCATGGTATAACAAGGTGGGTCGAAAGCTTGTTTGCTGGTATCAGCAATCAGAAAACCACATTTTGCTAAATGTGACAGCTAAATCTTACATCTAGTATTTTTTTCTTTTTAGGAATATTATAACAATCGAGTAGTTTGTACAATGTTGTTTTCTGCTTGTCTTCTGTGCTTTGGAACAGAAGACCTAAAATTTGGTATAGGCCGTGACTTCCTTGTTAGTGATGTACCACTTGCTGCCACAAGCTTCCATCTGGATTTAGCAGACAAAATTCCTCAATATTCAATAGCATTTTTTGTTGGAAGTAGCATTTGCTGTTGAAGTTTCTGAGCTTAAGACAGAGGGAGGCTGTGGCTCAAAAAGTTTGCAGGTGCCTGCTTTAGATGCTCAGCGTTTTTAGCACAGTATTTGTGAAATAAAGCTAGAGGCATTTTCTCATCCTGCAGCAGTGTTGCAAAGGTTGTTAGGATGTCTGATGTTAGATTGCTGTGAAAAGGACTGGAGAAAGTTGTTTATCTTCACGTGTTTAAATAGAAGTTCATGACAAAAGACTGGAATGGGAAATTAAAAAAGCAAAGCAAAATTAAGTGGCTTAATAAAGGAACAACTTTACAATAAGCTAAAATGAAAACATTGCATACACATGTGAATGAATCTTTCTTTCTACAGCCTTGGTTCGTATCTTTTTTGGCAGCAGTTCTGTGTGTATGAAAAATGGCCAATAACGGTTGTTTAACTTATTTGCAGAGCATAACTCTTCAGAAGCTAGGTATGGAAGCAAGACTGGTTGGCAGTAGTGGTGCCTGCAGAGACGGTCCTGGACGCTCATTTCTAGCTCAACAGCGTCATGTCACCAATACCAGAAGGAATATCACTGTTAAAGTACAAGGTGCAACATCTGATTAAACCACGAGGACCATGAGGAAAACTATGCTAAAGTGTCCTTAAATGTTTTATAGCTTCCACTCTTAACTACTTGATGAAAGAAGAGGTTAGAATGGTGGGCAGCTGTGAATTCAACATCAAAACCTAGCAAGAAGTCTGAGTCAATCAGTGGTGTGTCTAGAAAGTAGCAAGTAGATTTCCAAGAGTAGATTTAATAGCTGCAGTATGTATTTACAAGCACAACTTAAAGATTTATATTTGCTTTCAGAATATATTGTAAATATAAAATTTGGCGCTATATATTTAAAACTTTATCTAATGGGTTTGGGCTAGAAGGTTCACTTCTTGTAAGATGTTATGCAAAAGCGTTCTTCAGGAAACTGGTAATATAGGGCATTTTTGCTGGGGTCTTCTAAAAATAAAAGATTGGTACCAGGTCTTAAAGAAAAGCTTTTTTTTTTAGTACAAAGTACAGTGATTTTAAGAGCAAGGAAAATACTTGCATTTAATAGAAAAAGAAAAAAGGTGAAGTACCAGTTGACTTGTTACATAGCAGGAGGCAGGATTTCTTTTGTCATCTCAGGTGAGAAGCAGAATTACAGTTTACTCAGAAAAGATTAAGTTTGTGCATATATACATTGAGGAAAACCTGTCTTGAAAATGTTGAATTCCCTAAAGCCAAATAAACTGTCTTTTCCTGTGTGAAGAAAAAAAGCTATAAGAATTCTAAAGTCTGGGCTATGTTTTAAAAGTCTGGCATGTTGGTACACTCCATTTATTTGCAGAAAGGGAGTTAGGTGGGAAGAAACCAATTTATTTCCAGCTATTTATGCAACCCTGTGCATAGAAATCAATTTTCCTCATTTTTTTAATGTAGTTTCAGTTCAGTTATTCTGAACTGATTGTGCTAGGCAGATGAATGAAAGATAGCTTTGCTAGTTGTTGGCAGCAAAGCTTGTTTGTTGGCAGGGAGAAAAGTGCATAAACTATAATAGTTTGCAGGATCTAGATCAAAGGAAATGAAATGGGGATTGATATTTGGAATTCTTGTGTGGGAAGTTGCTATCTTTCACAAAAATTGTGTCACTTTATTTCCCAAATACCTTATTCCTGTTAGGAACTGTACTTTTAGGAAACTCGTTAATGTCCATTCTTCTTTGCAAACTATCTAGAACAAACTCATTATACACACAGTTAAATAAAATAAAAGTACAACAGCCCTTAAAAGAATATGAATACACTTCAAGTATTTAAGGGTGCTATAGCAGTCTGTGATCTAAATATAAACCTCAGCCATATGTGTCAATGAGAGCATATGTCTGCCTTCGCCACTAAGGCCATCTTTGATTCAGCTTTGCAGGGTTTAAGTTTTGAATTGTGAACTTTGAGTAATTTTCCATTTGCATGCCCCTCAGTATGGCTTGTTCTTTGATTTCCTCCTTCCCCAGCATCTTAAATTATTTATTGGGCATTGCATGCAATGCAGTGCAAAGAGAAAAGGGAAGTATTCATTTTTCATGCTGAGTTGTGATAGTTTAATTGCTTCTTAGTTGTGATAGTTTTACAGTGCTATATATTTAGGCATTCAACAGACTTCCTCTTTCAAAACTTCTGTCTACATAAGGCATTGTTTAAAAGCCAGTCTCAAGCTAAATGTGGTGTGAACAGAGAATATGCCAGACGAACTGTCATTGGAGGGTTTTGTCTGTCAGGTTGTGTTCTTCAGGACTTTAGGCTCCTTTGACTACCTCTTGGGTTTTGAGGTCTTTCATTGTTGCAGTAATGTTGTTTGTATTTTTAAGGTACAATTGCTTGTTTAATCTGCTAGTGGTGTGGGAGATGGTGGTGAGCAGTGGAAAAGGAGACTAAGTCTTAGCAAGGTGCTTGTGTTTCTAAAGCCTGGTACTTTGATGTGTTCTAGTGAAATGTGAAACTGTCACTGATGGTGTTGAGTGGGTCTCTTAACCCTTGTTCTTCACAGCATGGTAACTTTAATGGACACCTTTCAAATACTCATCTAGTTAAGTAGGCTTGATGCGTTTGTTGTACTTGTCACGGTAGTAGAGCTGTGTCAGTAGTCATATTGGGTGCTGAATAGTGAAAAATTGGAGCAAATGTCTCTGTATACTTCTCAAAACTGCAATCCCTGGGACCAAAAATGACCAAGAACCTCCCTATCATTTAGCTGCAAGTTTGTCTTCTGACTAGCAGTGGAACTAAAGACAGGGATCAGCCTTCTTCAGGGGCAGGGTTGTTCCCAGTAGTCTTGTTGGGGTTGCCAAAAATGAATCAAGTTTTCAGGTATTAAATGAAATGTTACTTATTTGGGACTTTTCCAAACTGTTGGAAGTTAAGCCTGTGAATACAACTTAAGTGTTTCTTTGGGACTGAGAACCTGTTCAAGAGTGACTGGTTGATAACTGGTTAGAATTGGGTTACGTCCTATGAACGAGGAACCAATCTGTAGAAATAAATATTTGATTATAAGCCATGGTATTGTATTCACCTCAGCTCATCTGGCTGTGCGGAAAGGATCATTTGAATAGGTATCATTTTAATATTAACTTCATTCATGTCAAACAATGGTCCTAATAGTGTTGCTGTGTTGCAGCTGAGTTGTATGCAATGTTGAGCAGCAGCACATCAGGACAATGTTCTTTGATGCAGTGTGAGGCAGCACAAAGAAAGAGGCTCCTTGTCTCTGCTGCAAGATGAATTCATATCATGTCTAGACAGCACAGTTAGGAACAGATTAGTTATGAGATGAAATCATTGAATATTGCTGAAGCTAATCAGCATTATTAGTAACTTTAGCCAGTTTCCAGTAAAATGGGTAATATAAATCCAAAGAAACAAAAATATGTGCTGATTCACATATCATCTGTGAATATTTTTTTATGTAAGATTAATTACTATGGAAGAGAAGTATTTTATAGCAATAATACAAATTTTGGACTAGTAGGTTCTTTTATTCAAGGCGGATCAGGCAGCAGTTTTGAGAAGATTCTTTTGCAACAACTGTATTATAGTGGATTAAGAAACAGTCACTGAACACAAGTTTTCACCTGATTTCCTTATTCATTGAAATATATATATGGGTATTCTATTTTCTATAATATACACTTACTTGGAAATGAGTAATATAAGCAATACTGATGCTTTATTTAGGTGGCCATAAATAGCTTAGGAATTAGGAAATGAAAACAATTGTTCAAGAGTGGGTAATGTGTACTAAGATAATTTTCTTTTATGCTTTTCTCCCTTCTCCCCCACTAGTGACGCTACAGTTCAGGTTTTCAGTGTATCAGTGTCTACATCTTCTGTTTAAAACAAATGTAAACACTGTGTTGCATAGAACTTGGAAAATTGCACTAATTTTTAAACTTTTGGGTTTATTTTTTTCTTTGGAAAGAATTCTTTTATATTCACATAAAGATTTTTAAAATCAATTCTCTGGTGTCTTTATTCCAAGAAGTGTATTTAATGGTCCCTCGCTGCTGTTACCATGATGTATCCATAGTTCTGGGCAGCATATGAACTGGGTCTGCTTGTTGATAGAATTTCACTGTCTGAAATGTCGTGTTACAGGATCTATAACATGTATGTGTAACCCTTTCTGTGTTTTGACATAACAACAAATCAGTTGTACTGCCTGCCCCTCCCACATACAGTTCTGCTCCATTAGGATCTCTGCCTACTCTCCTCAGCCCCAGCTGAGAGGACACAAGAGGACAGGTATGTGCTTCTAAATTACCCTGCTTGTTCTTAGCTGCAAAACTGACTACTCACTTCAGTCTGCTTTGCAGGCTATTTATGTGCCCAGTTCTTAGTCTTAGTTGACAGCTTTCCTGTTCCCTGAGCACTAACCTTAACCCAGAAGTGAGGTTGGGAATGAGAGTGGGCAGCCGTTCAGCCCTCCAGAGTGAAGATCAGCAGGAAGAAGGTGTCACAAGGGTCCTTCAGGGCCTGGTTTCAGACCTGCTTTATGACAGGTTTTCCCTCTCTCTGAACCATAATCAGACAATGTTAAGTATTGATTTTTATTGCCTTGGGCTGCTACCCCTGTGAGGATGGGGAGCTGTGCGGTACGTCACTGTGGGGGGGCAGAAGTGTCCCAGTGACTGCGAAGTGTCCAGATAGAGAAGAACCGTTTTTCCTTCTTTCTGAGGCTGGATGTAAAAGCATTCTCAGACACCAAAGAATGAAAACTGCAGGTGTGTGTTTGAGGGAGGAGGGAAGGGAAAAGGCTTTCAGCTGTGCAGGAAGCCTGTGCTGAGCTGCAGGATGTTTTCAGCCCATGTATGAGCAGTCATGGGACACACTGTCAGCCACCACTGCCTTCCTGAGCACAGGGTTAAGCGAGGGGTGGTGTGTGCAGGGGGAATCTCATTCCCAAATGCTTGGTCATGGGAAGCTGTGTTCAAATGCAGACCGTGGCTTTTCTGGTAATTGTGGCTGCCCCATCCCTGGCAGTGTCCAAGGCCAGGTTGGACACAGGGGCTTGGAGCAAGCTGCTCTAGTGGAAGGTGTCCCTGCCCATGGTGGGGTTTGGGAGTGGGTGAGCTTTAAGGTCCCTTCCAACCCAAACCATTCTATGGTTCTGGTAGCTCCTTACAAGCTCAGCAGGTTTGTATGTTTAAGTAAGGTCTGTCTGTGGAGGAGCACAGTGCAAAGAAAGGGAGGAGGTGAGGTCCTCCAGAACCATGGAGATGGTTCTGTGGAATGTAAAATATTCATGGAGCCCTTGTGCAAAACAGCCCTGTGAAATGTGCTCGTTGCACAGAGTGCTGCTAACCCAGCCGAGGCACACGGAGAAGGGGAGGAAGCTTTTGGGTATAGCAGCAGCCTGGGAAAGGAAATGGGAGTCTCAGCCAACAGATGACACCTGCAGACTGGAAGTGCTGTGGGAGCAACGCTGCGCACAACAAACTTGTCACTGCGCCCCTCTCTTTCAGTCGATTCCAGGCATGCAGCCCACTTCCAGCCTTCCCCTTCTGCTTCTCCCAAGGAAGGACAAGAACATAAGGTCTAGAAAGTCAAATGAACTTCCTTGTTTTTACTGTGAAGGGAAGATGTGGGAGAGCCTTGCCAGGAGCAAGTCAGTTGCAGGGTGAGAAGGGGTAGAGCGCTTGGGTTAGGGAAGTCTCATCCCACTTCTATTGAGAACCTGGTCAAGACTCTTGCATTTTGTGAATAGGTTGGTTTGGTTCCCACCACGTCTTCTCCTGTCTCCACCTTATGGATCTGTAAAACAGGAACCTCAAGTGCCAGAAACAGCAGCTTAATCCAACCTCTTATTTCCACCTGGCTGTGCCTGGCACAGAAAATCAGAGGAGGGGGAAGAGCCTCCCTTCCAAACCCTGTGTGGGAAGGAGCTGTACCAGAAGCTGTGTGCATCTCCTATAAATCTAGCTTTATGTTACACAGTTGTGCTTGGCCCCAGTGTGCAGCGGTGGGGCCCAAGGGTGATCCCAGCCTTCCCTGGTTTCTCCCCTCTGTGCTTGAAGGAGAAGAAAATGCAAGTTAAAATAAAAGGATTTAAAACCTACCTTGGTGTTCATGCTTGCATGAAAAAGGATGCATTTAATTTCTGCAGATGATGACTTAATTTTCCTAAGTGACAGTGGGAAAAATTTGCTTCCTATAGGAACACATGCAAAACTGGAAATGAACAGGAAAAGATTGCTTTCCCCTTTCTTCCTCAGCAGGTGCACAGGAGCTGGAGGTGTTTAGTGGTGCTTGTTGAGCCAGTGCCTTCCCATGTGGTGGACTCCATCCTGTTCCCAAGAGCTGCAGCTTTCACTTAGAGGCCTCTCCAGGGTCCCATGGTGTGACTGTTACTGAGTCCATGATTTTAACCATGGGGTTAAACCACAACATGGTGTTAACCATTGGTTGTCCATCTTAGAACTGTTTCACCTTACGCAAACTCTTAGACTGGTTTGTGTTGGAAGGGACCTTAAAGCTCACCCAGCTCCAACCGCTGCCATGGACAGGGGCACCTTCCACTAGAGCAGCTTGCTCCAAGCCCCTGTGTCCAACCTGGCCTTGAACACTGCCAGGGATGGGGCAGCCACAGCTTCTCTGGGCACCCTGTGCCAGCGCCTCAGCACCCTCACAGGGAAGAACTTCCTTGTACCTAATTTAAATCTCCCCATAGTTTAAATCCATCCCTTCCTTGTCTATCACTACATGCACTTATAAAAGCCCCTCTTCAGCTTTCTTTGTAGCACTGGAAGCTGCTCTAAGGTCTCCCCTGAGCCTTCTCCAGGCTGAACAAGTCCAGCTTTCTCAGCCTGTCTCCATAGAGGAGGTGCATTTGATAATAATTTAAAATAATAGCAATTATTTGCTGGTATTTTCTAAGGGTTCTTTTTATTCACAGAATCACAGAATAGTTAGGGTTGGAAAGGACCTTAAGATCATCCAGTTACAACCCCCTGCCATGGGCAGGGACATCTCACACTAAACCATGTCACCCAAGGCTCTGTCCAGCCTGGCCTTGAACACTGCCAGGGATGGAGCATTCACAACCTCCCTGGGCAACCCATTCCAGTGCCTCACCACCCTCACAGGAAAGAATTTCCTCCTTAAATCCAGTCTAAACTTCCCCTGTTTAAATTTGAACCCATTACCCCTTGTCCTATCACTACAGTCCCTAATTCATTAGCAGCCATATATCGTTTGTTGATGAACCTTTCCCCTCTGGGCACACCAGCCACTTGGTGCTGCTGGGTTGGTAAATGGGGAGGGTTTAGAGTATTCTAAGAGAGAGGACCCACAAGTTCAATAGCAAGAAGTACAGATGTTTTATAGAGGTATCTGTTGATAGAGAGCACTCCCTGTGGGTGTTACACATGTAATTGCTGTGGCACATGAGAGTCCTGCCACAGGTTTTAATGGTTCCCCTGCTCGCCCATTTGTACTGTCAGGCTCATTTGTTTTCAGTACTTCTGTAGGAAGTGCCTTTGCTGTTACAGTGGCAACCCCTCTGCTGACAGAGAGCAATGCTGCAGCCATGGGGATTAGGTGCTGTGCTGCTGCCTCCACCCGAATGGGCTCGCAGTTCCCCTGCTATCCCCTGCCCCGAAGCCTGGGCCATGGCCAAAGGCTACAGCCAATGTTGGTCTGCCTTTTGCAGAATGCTTCATGACAGAAATGTTCTGGTAAGGATTTATTGATGAGTGAGATGTTACAGAGTGACTTTTGGTTTAAATTGATTACCGGGCAGTGATAGCGAAACCAAGGAATCTTGGCAATCAATACCTGTATTAATGTTATCAAGCAAGGGTGGTTCTGCTCTTCCATGGTGCACAGCCACAGCCTGAACACTGCAACCTCTGAAGTGTTGCCCATTCTCTTGCCACTCTGAAGCATGGTCATCCACCATAAAATGAGCAAAGCCCCAAGCCCCCCGTTCTTTGCAGTGCCATAGGGAAGTGCCCTGGCAGATCCCAGGCTGATCACCTCTCCCATGTGACACAGAGTGCGAGGTCCACTTGTGAAAGAACTGATTTTGCAATTGCTTTAAGGGAAACAAACAGGAACTGGGCAATTGTTGCCACCAGACAGGGGAGCTGCTGATGGCTCATCTCTGCCTGCTAAAGGCTTTTCCGTGTGCAGATGGTGGCCAAGGCTTCCCTACCGAGGCACGGCACAGATCTTGTAGGGCTGCGGGGCCACTGCGATGCCCAGCTGGAACTTGAGGCTGAGCGTGGTGTCCGGGGGTGCCTGGATAGTGAATTTCTGGAGCAGAGACGTGAAGAAAAGGAAGAGCTCAGAGCGGGCCAGGACCTCACCCAGGCAGGAACGCTTCCCTGTGGAGACAGCCGCCAATAGCATCACAGAATCATGGAATAGTTTGGGTTGGAAGGGACATTCGAAGGCCATCTAGTCCAACCCCCCTGTGCTGGCTGATGAAAAAGCTCCTGCATCCATTGGGACCATAGTCCAGCTGCGTTACCCCCTTCCCAGGATGAGTTTTGCAGCCCAACCTGAGCACCCCAATAATGGTGCTGGTGTTAGGGCATGGGCTCCCCCCCTGGATTGGGTAACTTTGTGAGGACATGTGTGTAACTGACTGTGCACTGTGTCCTCCCCTGCTTGGATAAGCTCTGCTGACACCTATGGTCTGCGTATGTCCACACTGGGAGAAGTGGCTTATATGAGCTATGCCAAAGAGAGCTATCAAAGAAGGTGTGTGATGCTGGGATGGAAAACAGGGGTGCTAAAAGCAATGTCTATGGGGAAGCTCTTGCCTGGTGTACCCTGTGGAGCTCTAGTTAACCCACATGGGAGGTGAAACACAGGGCCATGCTCTTCCCATCATTAAGGTATTTCCAGGGTCTCTGGCATCATTATCTTTTATTCACCCTCATCTCTCCTTTGTGCATGTGAAGGAAGGACAGGAAAGGGCTCAGTGTAGTCATGGTGCTTTGGGGTGGCCACA